CTTGGCAAGGAAGCCATTGCATCTAGAAAGAGATACTTCCTGACACATCGTCCTCTGCCATTCTCCATCTATGCCATGAACCTTGTACTATATCCTTTCAGGAAACATTTACCAAGCACCTACTGTGTGCCTTATCCTAGACTAGGTACATGAAAATCACACCCCAAGAAGACATGGACTCTGCCTTCAAGTTGAGCACAGTCTACTAGACAGCAAAAAATCTTTGGAAAGCATTCTGTAGGGTTTCCTGAGGATTACTTATCCTTCCCTGAATCTATAAAGCTTGATGAAAACAAATCTGCTCACAGATTTAGCCTGTGTCTTGTTCGTGGCTTAGTTAGGAGGAACCTATATGGTCCATGACGTGTGTGGAAAGGCCAGCTAAGTGTGGTTCACAGGTGCTTAACTGAAGACGCTTTGCTCTCTAAGGCCCTGTGCCAGAACACAGGAGGACAGTAAACCTGACTGGGTAAAGCATAGAAGAGTTGCCGTTCATATCTCAGAGCAGTGTTGTTTGCAGCTTTCAAACCTAGTAGTAATGGTTATTGTTAATGAATACTCTTAAATATGGAGGTGGCTTTTGAAATAGGAGACAAAAATACCTAGGAATGCAGTCCCGTTCCCGCCCTGGAGCCCAGGTTTCTAGCCCTCTTTCATAGCACTGTCGAGCTTTCCCCCTCCTTTTCCTCAGCTGAGCCAACCTGCTTGCCAATCTCTGCAAATGGCTAACTCTCGCTTGTGTGCCTCTGCTTGACTAGTTCTGCTCCTGGGTGCCATGTCTTCTCTGCCGTAGTGTGGCCTCGGGGCTGCCCCCTGCAAGGAGACTGTGATGGCGTGTCTCTGTTTCTTCCTGTTCCTCCCGCACATGCCTCGCCTTGTCGGGGAAAGAACACTGCTGTGGTGGTCATAAAGGTTCCTGTTCTCTGTCTGTATCTTACTGACCTGGACACAGACCTCAGTGAAACTGAGCTAATAACCACAGCATCCACCAAGCCGTCAGCAGTGAGTCTCTAGAGCAAAGATTTTGTTTGGTGCCAGCTTTAGGATAGAGAAGAAGAGCAGAAAAGTTGGACTGGAGAGTATGAGAAGCAATCCAGGGTTCGTGGGTAAAGCAGTCACAAGCTAGTAAATGATCCATTCCTGCTCCCAAACAGGACAAGAAACCTTAAACATGTTTCACATATAGCAGGAGTCGACTGGTGAACTGTAAGGCTCAGGGAAAGCAGGGCTCTGCCTGTCAGTCATCCTAAGCCTGTCACTCTGCTGTTCTGTAATCCTTTTGGTATTGTTTGATGTATGTATGTTTTATCTTCCAAACTGACTAAAGCTTCTTGAGCACAGGGACCATGTCTTTTTTTTGCTTCTGCGTATTCCGCCCCCGCCCCCTCTCTCTCTCTCTCTCTCTCTCTCTCTCTCTCTCTCTCTCTCTCTCTCTCTCTCTCTCTCTCACACACACACACACACACACACACACACACACACACACACACACACACACGCTGTTTCATCAGGAAGGGGAAACCTGTAAACACATAAAGAGCGAGAGGACAGCTTGTGGGTTCCGATTATACCCCAGCCATTACGTTGTACACTTTCTGTGTGTAGTCTGTGGTCTGTGCGTTCATGATGGCTCAGTGAGGTGAGTGTTCCTGAAATCAAAGTTTAGAGTTTTCAGAGGTCTTGCATTAATGAGTTGTAGATGTAGAATTGAAGCCCGGGTCTGGCTTTAGAACCTGTGTGTGCTTTTCACCCCCCACAGTAAACACTTGAGTCCTCTCCAGCTCACTGAACTCTTTGGTCTGTACTGTTGCTGTTGTTGCTACCACTGCTGTGCTGGGACTGCATGTCACCACTGGGAAGTGGGCAGAGCTAGTATTTCCATGACCCCATTTCACAGATGGGGAAACTAAGACTCAGAGACTTGCCCAAGATCTCAAAGCTGGTAAGTGGAAGAGTTCAGACTTTAGACTTGCTAACTTACAATCCGTTTGCTCTTCCCACACATCACATTGCTGTCTTAATTTATCTGCATGAATGCATGACTGTGGCCCAGTTGCACCGATGCCTTTTCTACAGAAATGTCAGTACACACCAACATTGCATGGAGCCATGTGGAAAAGAAAAAAATTCATGCCTTCTGAGGAGCTTCCGTTTTAATGGAGGATGATAACAGAGCACCACCTAAATGCTTGAGAATGGTTAACAAGTGAGAATTAAAAGATGGGTGCCCTCTGTTCTGTAGATTGACTAGTGGAAATGGACCATAAAACTGTAAAATTCTTAATTATTCCCAGCTGTAAAGTTGGACTAAAGGGTAGGAATAAAGATAACAGACATGATTCGGAAATACTCTTCCTGGGTTTACGTAGAAAGTAGCTTGGTGGTTCACACCCTGGCAGCTAGTCCCAGAATGGCCTGTTCTTTTGGAAATGTAATTGTGTTAGTACTGTCAGTGGTGGCATGTCTACCAAGCAGTTCATCACTGGCTTTAGTAGGCCCCTGCCAGTTCCACTCTGCCTCTCCTTACCGTTCAGTCCCTACCATACCTCACTGCCTTCGGGGACCAACACCTTTAAACCTAGGTCATTAGGTGTTTAAAGTTTGTGTTTGGTTGGTTGGCTTGGGTTTGGGTTTTTGACTTTTGAGCCAGGCTCTTGTTTTTACAGATGTGTACAACGACTCCCAACCTTTAGACCTAGAAGTTTCTTACCCTCCAGTGTGCTGTTCTCAGACGTTGTTTCCTTTCCTTCGCATCAGTTGTTAGGATTCAGTATCACAGAATTCCTCATCATAATCAGAACCAGAAAAAATGTGTGTCCTCCATCGTGGCTGGGTCATAGCAGGACTAGAGGGTTGCTGATGACTGTCCACTGGCATTTCTGTCTGTCTGCCACAAAGGCAGCGCAAGCTCTGTGGGTCCTGAAAAATAGCGCTGTTCCCCCGAATTTGTCCTGTGTTCTGGCTCCTGTAGGTGGTGCCGGACCTCAGTACCTGTCCTGGGGCCATAGGGACACTTTACCACTCACCTTCACCGGCTCCCTTCCACACCTACCTGAGGCACAGTGCCTTTCCTTCCCACAGCACAGCCATAATCCGTCTTTCTCTCATTCTCCATCCACCACTACAGTGACCTCCTAAGATTACCTGTCGGCACCTATTCCAGTGTGTCTGCCACCACCACACCACTCCCGGAGGGTATGAACCACGGGGCTCTACAAGATAAATGCTAAGCTCCTTCCTTTGGCCTTGTCACCCTTCCCTCCTCCCCTCACTTCTTCCGGGAACCTCTACTCTCTAAACACTGGTCCCTTGTCCAGCCTTACAAGAGCACAGAGCAGCAGAGGCAAATTAACAGTCACACGAGACAGTGGGGCCTCGCAGTCGCCTTCGCCTGGCACAGGGGTCTCCTCTGCGGTGTCTCCTCTGCCTCTCCCAGGTAGTGTGGCCATGCTTCTTCTCAGGAGCCACAGTGTCGCATCTGCAGTCCTCAGGACATGCACCCATCTGGGGCCCGGCTCATCTCGGGTCTGTTTGTTTCGTCCACTCATCAAGGGCAGCAGCTGCCGCTTGTCCTCCTGGGCTGCCCAGCAGGTGGCAGTTCTTTTACGTAGCTGTTGACAGTGAACTCAACTGCTTTTCCGTGCAGTTAGGACAGCCAGCTGAGATGGGGTTGACGGCAAAGAGCACTGGACTAGGATTCAGGAGACCTGTCCCATGCCCAACCCTGCCACTAAGTGGCCTTGGGTGAGTCACGCAGCGTCCTTTTAAAGAAGGGGGTTGGACTAAATGATCTGTGAGGCCCCTTCCAACTTGAAGCTTTATGATTCTGATCCTGTTTCCTACATATAATACACAGGAGCCTCAGTTTACCAGCCAGTCAGGCATCCACGTTTCCCAGACTCTGGCCTCAGCAGTCATCCTCTGGTGCTAGCCAGGGCCACTTGCTTCGGTCCTGTTACTAAACCAAGTCCCTGAGCTGAGCTCCCCTCCCCAGGTTCCAGTGTGCTGTCACAGCTGTACAGCTGCGCCTTCCCAGGAGGGAGCCCCTCTTCATGTTGCCCGAAGGGACAGTAGCAAGGGGGGGGGGGCAAGTGCTACTGTGTCCTTCACACCACAGCCACCGACATGACAGCTGCTGCAGCGTCGTGTTCTCAGGCAGTGGCGCCCATTTCCATGAGAAATAAGGCTAAGCAGCTCTGAGCCTTTGCCGCCCTCTCAAACGCACCACTGGCCTGTTGGGAGTGGAAGCGTTGGGGTTAGCAGCTCAGTAGGGATGTTCGTCACAATCTCCATGCAATAATAAATAAGGCCTAGGAAAAGATTAAATAAATCTTTCCTGATGCTTTTGATTGGCTTAATCGATAACTAACCATTTTAGATGAGGCTGTAACTTGTGGAGTGGATACAATTGGATTAGGTGAAGACAGTTGGGGAGCTTTGAAGAGATTAAAAATGGCTGTCAATCCCATAATTAAACTGCCACAAACAAAAGCAATAGTATTTTAAACAAAAAGAAGGAAAGAGAGAGAAAAGGGAAGAAAACTTGGGGAACTCCAGCTGATTTGAAATGAATCAACAAGTGCTCACGAGTCAGAGGCGATGGGAACAAAACCAAATTTGACAGTTGATGCTATTAAATGAAACGTGTGTTTAATTCTGAGTTGGGCAGGTGAAACTCCAGCAGCTTTAACTTCTCTAAAACAAATGAATCCACGAGAGGAAAAAAAGTTCATTATTCAAAACAGAAGAGACCTGCTCCTTGTCCTGAGCCCATTTGGACCTTGACTTTTCATACTTTAATTGGCTTAGTAGGTTTGGCTTGTGTGAATGAAGCCTTTCATCCCCTTTCATCTTTCCATTCCAAACACACAGAGAGCTTGAGAGAAAACACTTGGGTTTTTAAAGACTTCTCTTTTTAAAAGGATGGGGATCTGGGCGGGGGAGGGTGTGTGTGATGCTGGTGAATACTTTTTTTCTCCTTCTTTTATCTCTTTTTCCAGAGAGGAGTTGCTTAAGCCAATGGGACTAAAACCTGATGGGACAATAACTCCCTTGGAGGAAGCACTCAGCCAGTACTCTGTCCTTGAAGAGACCAGCTCCGACACGGACTGAGCGCCGTCACCTGCCCCGCTCTCAATATGGCTTTCATCAGCATCTTTTCTCTGTAGCTCCAGGGGAATCTTTTTCTCTAAAACATTTATGCCCTTGCTTTGGCTAGAAACACATTAGCTGGTTTACTCGTTGGGTACCCAGCGTATGTAAGAGGTGGTCCTGTGTTCTCTGCGACAGTGAGGCATCCACGTAGAGCTGGAGTTAGGCAGAGGTGCGGGCTAGGAGCAGAAGCAGTCATTCCATTTCATCAGGATGCAGTGCGGGACTTCACTCTGCCGAGCAGCCCCGCTCCAGTCTGGCAGTGTTGTCGCCAGGGTTCCTAGCCGAAGATTCAGCCGTGTCCCTCCACTGGCTCGTAAACCGCCCCTTCTAAGTCTCTCCAGCAACCCAGGCACACGAGAGGCCGAGGAGCTGGTAACTAAGGGCTGAGGCAGGTGACTCCTTAGATCAGCACTGACTGAGTGGAAGCCAGGCAGCTGCCCTGTACACCTAGTCCACCCTTCATTTCAGTTTTATATAAATGTGGAAACACACACACAGAGCCCCAGACTTACAAACCTGTTACACTCTTGAAAGTTTGTATGTCACTTAGCGAAAACTTCAGACTACAGCTCTCCCTGTGAGGAGTTAGAAATGATGGTTTAGTTCCAGGCAGCTACATGTGCCTATTTATTCCTCATGTTCCTGAACACTACACGTACCGTAGGGCTGGACCACCATCTGTACCGCTGCATCCAGAGCGTGCATTCTGAGGTCTCACTCAGGGTGCCAAGTATACACTCATCCTCCAGGCAACAGAGAGGATGGGGCTCCCCGAGTAGTGGGAGTTCTTTCGTGGCCTGTGCTGGGGGTAGGGAGCCAACAGCACCCATTTGTACATAAAGGTCATTCGTATGTCACATGTTTTAAACAAGGGTCTCTGTGTGTATTTGTGTGTGTGTTCTTTCTACCATATGTGATCAGTTTAATGGTAACTTTATTTATTTAAAAAAAGAAACACAAATAGTTACTATTAAACTGATTAAGGCTGTTTATTTTTACTCTTAGAAATGGTCATATGAAGTAGACGTGCAATCATGTAGACAGGCCAAGTTGATCAGTGGCTAAAGTTAAAAAGGGGTTGGTTTCCTTTCATATATGTATGGATGTGTACCTGCACATCCATACATATATGCACACACATAGATTATGTGCTTAACCACTGCCTTTTAAAACTTTAAATTAAATAAAACATTGGGGATGACTCAATTTGGCCATCTGTGTGTGTTTCTTTATGGTACATGGGCTAACAACACCATTGCACAGTTTATGTTTCAAAGTGTTTTCCATCTGTTAACCTCACTTGTCATCATATAACCTCTTTAAAGGATGAAGTATGCATAATACCAGTGAGAATGGCATTTATCCTAAATTATTTCTGACAAACCCTCACATCAAGCATTGAATCGGAAAAGGCCTTTGAGCTGCCAGAGAGATGTAAGTTTCTTAAAATTTACTCAGAGGGGAACCTTTAAAGAACAATTGCACCACTGAGATTTACGTTCATTTCTAACGTGTCATTGCTTGGACTTTAAGCCCCACCCCCCACACCCCCAAAAGCAGAGGAGGAGTTTACTAGACTTAAAGTAGAGGCACTGAAAGCAAAAGACGCCAGCTGGGGGGAAAGGCCGGCAGCACCTATTCATCACAGTTCAGATGGGGTCAGACCCATGCCAGGGTGGAGCGAGAACAACACTGTCCAAGACCAAGCAAACCTGGGACTCTACTTCCCTAAGAACACCCAAGTTCACCCAGAAAATAACGTGTGTGATGCTGTGGCCATAGACATATTTTCCTAATGGTGGCCCTGAGCTGCTGTAAAAGAATAAATTCTTTGTAAGTGACTAGGAAGAGTATGTGCATTATAGGATTTTTATCCAATAATTGTTGGGGAGAGCTTGTGGTCCATGTTTTAGCCAATGGTGTATAAAATTTTCATTTTATTTAGCAATTCATGATTTTAGCTTAAGTGGAAAAATCCAGAGAAAAAGAATTTAATTATTTTGTTATTTCATTCTACAAAGCATTTTGAAAGTATTTTTATAATCTCTGGTCAGATAGCTTTGCCGTGAGTATCAGCCTAACAAATCAGGCCGTGCCTGGTGAGATGCTCCTTGCAGGCCCCGAGCACAGTGCTTGCTGGGTGCTGTAGGGTGCTGTAGCTCTGCTCCTAGGCGCTCAGTCAGTTCTTTCCACTTCGCATCTCTCCGGACTGTGTACTTCTCTTTTTTTTAAGGATTAATTCTTAGAAAGAAGATGGAATAGTTTCACCTTACACACAGAAAGAACACTGAGCATCAAGTTACATGTCTTCTCTGTAACCACCCCATCTCAAGGCAGCACCTCTCCAGAGGACTTGCCCTTAGTTCCCGGCCCAGCAGCCCGCCAGAGTCCAGCTGCAGGCTCGACTTCAACACCTTCCCCACTGCATGTCTGACCACACAGCCAGAGGCTTTGAGACGGAAGCAGCGTGGGCTGCCGGAGGTGGTCGCTCTCGGGCCATTTCAAGCAATAACTATGTTAGCAGAAGCAGTCTCAGACTTTCCCATCGTCAGGGAGATGCCGGCATGGGAGTGAGAAGTGTGGTCAGTTAGGAGAGTTTAAATGAAGACCTGGGCACCTTTAGGTCAGAGAGCAGTGGTGTGGGCTGTTCCCTCTCCAATGAGAGGGATGGGACAGTGGCCACTGCCGTCTCCAGCCTCCGCCTACACTGGCCTCTGGAAGTGAAGGATGGATGGGGAAGCATGTCCTAAAGTGAGGCATTCGAGCTGCTTGAAAGAACAGTTCCCAGATGGCTGTGATCTTTCAGGTGCCCTGTGGCCCTCAGTGGCAGACGCTAGCCTTCCTTCATATATGACAGTGTGAAGCTTTGCGAGTGACTCCACGACGCCTCAGCACACAAATCTTGCTGCCTCCCAGGACTAGGTAGGTGTCAGCCTGCATCCCCCTTGTCTGTCAAAGTCACACATGTTCCCTGTAGAATATTGGGAAAGTGCAGGAAACAAGCTCATCGCTGACCCAGAGTCCTCCCTCCCTGAGCATCACTGTTAATGTTTAGTGTATTCCCTTTCTGTATTTTTTCTATGCATATATAATTTATTTTACTACAAGATTGGACCATGCTGTGTTTACAGATTTGTATCCTGCTTTCTTTAACATAATGTGAGCATTTTCCCTTAACAATAAATATTCTTCAAATGTTAATGGCTATGACATTCCATTATGTAAAGTATGGCAAACACTGTTGATCACTGCTGTGAATATTATGACCTATAACCCAGCTCCCACCCATTAAAAAGATGTTGCCTCCCGTCTTTGGGGAAGGCAGCCTGGGCCTCTACACAGTAAAGCTGCAGCAACTGGAATAAACTGGGAGGAGCAGGCTCACCCAGCTGTGCAGCGCTGTCCAGAAGCTGTGGTAGCATGGCATAGCAGCAAGATTAAGTGCCCAGAAAGTCTTGCAAAGTGAGTAGCATGGGTGCCAGAGGACTTGGAGATGCAGAGGGTGGTAGCCTTGGTTGGTGGGGAGCCTGGTACCGGCTTTTTTGGAGGTATCTACTGTGGTTGTGAGGTGGAGAACATTCAAGGGGAGAGAGAGATGTGTTCTTGAGGAAAACCACCATGACACCTGTTGGAGTGTGAGGAGCAGAGTCTGGAGGAGGAAGAAATGAATTATGTTCTAGGAAGAAGTCATGAAGGTGAAGTCAGGAACAGCCAAGCTGAGACTTGAGCAGAGGAGAAGCTCCAGGAAGATGGGAGATGAGCTGACACGCTGCGAGCCGCGCTAGACCCACACAGATAGTTCTGTGATTGACATTCCAACTCCAGCATGAGCTTGACATGTACAGGAGAGAAGCTGTTCCTGTCAGAACTAGCTCGAACTGAAGCTCGTAGACAAAGGCACACAGTGTGTCTACAGATGCAGGAGACTGTAGGCATGACAGGACAGGTATTCCGTGCCTTGGAACTAGATAGGGAAGAGCCACATTTCAGGCAAGGACTGGACAGGACACAAAGTCCACTGCTATGGAGTAGACTGGGTTGGAGAAAAAAGATGGAAAGTCGTTGCCTCAGCATCTGTAGATTAAGAAAGGTCTGAAGTAGAGCATGATGGGAGGTATGGACAAGGCTGAATTCCAGAAATACTTAAAACTGCAATCAACACAATCTAACCTGAAGGTTTAGAAGAAAGAGCTCAGATAGTGGAGCTCGGTCCCAACTTAGGGACTAATCAGTGGGTTGGAAACAGGAAAAGGTAACTAGTAACTAAGAATTTTTTCCAAGGGACTAGAGGCATGGCTCAGCGCTTAAGAGCATTGGATGTTCTAGAGGACCCTGGTTCAAGTCCCAGTGCCTGCATGGTAGCTCTCAAACATCTATAACTTCAATTCCATGGAATCCAGCAATGTCTTCTGGCCTACACAGGCACCAGGCACACATGGTACAGAAATACATGCCGGCAAAATATCCATACATAGCAAAAGAATTATTTCCAGGACTTCAAAACTTTCAGGTCACTGTGTTAGCTTCTGTAACTGAGAAATGATCAAGGTATTCGTCTCATAAAGAGAATAAGTAGGCTCGCTCATAGCTCTGGCTGTTTCAGTTCATGGTTAGTTGACCTCATTGCTTTGGGGCCTGTGTCGAGACAATACATTATGATGGGGAGGGAGTGCATGGCACAGGAAACTGAGCTTATAGCCAGAAAAAAAAAAGGAGGGTGGGGTGGGGAGAGGAAGGGGCTAGGATCCCACAGTCCCTCTCAGGGAATGGTCCCACTAATCAGAGGCCTTCCCAATAGACTCCAACTTCTTGCTTCCCAGTAGTGCCCGGCTGAGGAATAAGCCTTTAATATATGGTCCTTTGGGAGAGTTTCCAGGAAAGACAACAGTCCCCAAGCATTTCTATCCTGCATAAACAGTGCTGTGGTGTGCAAGCACTGCACACATACGTGCTGATGTAAGTAACACGCTGGAGGGTGGTTTCCAAGCTAATTACTGTATTCATGGTGTCCTTTTGCCTGTTTATACTTTCTATCAAAATATACAATTTGTAGCAGTTGTGTGGAAAGGAAATGATGGAAAATTCAGGCTTTAAAAAGAAATCTTCGCCGGGCGGTGGTGGCGCACGCCTTTAATCCCAGCACTCGGGAGGCAGAGCCAGGCGGATCTCTGTGAGTTCGAGGCCAGCCTGGGCTACCACGTGAGTCCCAGGAAAGGCGCAAAGCTACACAGAGAAACCCTGTCTCGAAAAACCAAAAAAAAAAAAAAAAAAAAAAAAAAAAAAAAAAAAGAAATCTTCTAGCCGGGCGGTGGTGGCGCATGCCTTTAATCCCAGCACTCGGGAGGCAGAGCCAGGTGGATCTCTGTGAGTTCGAGGCCAGCCTGGTCTCCAAAGCGAGTTCCAGGAAAGGCGCAAAGCTACACAGAGAAACCCTGTCTCGAAAAACCAAAAAAAAAAAAAAAAAAAAAAAAAAAAGAAATCTTCTAATTGAAGACTTAAAACTCTTGATAACCAATATCAAAAGAAAATCAAAATTTGCTTATTTGAAGAGCCTGGAGGTATTCAAGGAAGCAGATGAACCACACTGAGGAAAGTATACAGATGTAATAGATCTTGGTTCTGTTATGGGAGGGGTGGTTATAAAGGGATTTATAAAAACCCGTGATGTTGGCTATGGCAGGAGAGTTTACACCATAGGAATTGGCAAACACTGCACCCCAGGGCCTTCCCCTGCATCTGCAGCAGTCGCTGGGAGATCCTGCAGAGCCTAGAATGGCCGAGATAGCAGGGAGGTCTCAGAATGGCTCATGGTGAGGGTCGGTAAATCCCCCTCCCAGCAGCCCCCAACATGTGCATCCATGAAAGCATGTGATACTTGTTCTGTATGAATCCCAGACCCCTGCAATCCAAGAGCTTCCCTAAGAAGGGGTTGGGTCAGAGGGTTCCCGACCTCATGCCAGCAAAGAAGACGGAGAAGAGTCCCTTCTGGGGAAAGAAAACAAAAGGTAGACGCCTCCCACTTTGAGTCTCTCTCCAGTCAACTCTGAGAACCCTGGCAGCCAGCATTTTCTTCTGGAAGAACTGGCCCAAAGGGACCTGAAGAGACAATCGGGATCCTTCTTTGAAATAGGAAGATGGCTCTTGGTCCCGTCCGTCCCCACGCGCTCACGCAGCCGCTGGTTCATCAAATACACCATTAACTGCTGCAGAGGACGAGAGAGCGGGCTGGCCTTCTGCAGCTGTTCTGCCTCTGCAGAAAGAGTTCACGAACACAGTATACTGGCGACTGGGAGGTAGCTTCGCATCTGCTGGCGAGCCTGCGCAGACACATCCAAAGGAGGCCACATGCTCAGGCGGGGAGATTCTGTAGTCCTGAGGGATGCTTCCAACAGAGTGTGCTTGAGCTGAGTCCTGAAACAAGCCGCGGGAACACACAAGGCCTAATCCCTCCAGCGAGAAGGTGCCGCGGTGCATAGGCCCTGTAACAGGAGCAGTCCTGCTCTGACCAGGGGACTGCAGGAGGCCAGTGCAAGCCTGAGCAGAGAGGGGCTGGCAACCCTTCCCTGGCTGCCTTCCAGTATAGGTTTAGACTCAGCCATAATCCACACTGAGGCTTTAGTAGATGCAGCCTAGCAGTCTTCTGGGAAGATAACAGCTTCCTCCACACCAGGATTAGAGGTCACTCCGTCCTGAAAGACCAAAGGAAAAGTGGCCGTACTGTGCCAGAAGATGAGGCCAGAGCCACAGCACAGCAGATCATGCCGACTTTGGAGGAGATGCGGTGAGCCCTTGTGCAGTTCCCAAGTTGATGTTCCATGTCTCTTCAATTTGCAGAGACAGCCAAAGGTCACTGGATCTTGAGGAAATTCTCTCACATGAAAAAAAGAGACCAGAACAGAAATGGTAGGGAGCTTTTCCTCCACAGGTTTATTTTAACTACGGGCTTCAGCTCTGTTGCCTGGAAAGGGAAGATGGAGTGAGCGACACTCAAGAGTAAGCCTAGGGCCAAGTGAGCAATCATGAAATGGTGGCCAGAGAGCGGCAGCACGGCAGGGGACACTGTCTGAAAGTCCACCTGGGTCTTCTGAAGAAAGATGACACAGACTAAACACGGACACCGTGAAAATAGACTACGTGGTAGCAGTCAGCACACACGTGCATGCAGGTGTGTGTGGGGGGGGTCATGTGTGCGTGCACCTCACCTCACATTCTTAGGAGTAATAATGAAATACAGTATTTACCCTGTGGCAGGGTCTGTGATGGGCTCCTGGCATGTCTAATCCTTTGGTCTTCACAACAAGCTAGGGCAAAGCTAGGTTCTTATTCTTCATCTGCTGGTGGGAAATGGAGGCTGAGAAGGCAGGTCTGACCTGGCTAGCAGTGACTTAGCATTCAACACAGATGAGTGGGTCTCAGCTAGGCTCTCTGCCCACAGGGGTGGGCGGGGGCAGGGGGCACTGCAGGGGACTCAGCCTTGCGCGGTAGGCTTCTTTGTGCCTTGCAGTACAGGCGGGCTTTTTAAGCACCCTCAGTGCCATTCCCTTCCCGAGTAGATCCAGCCATCCAAGGTATATCCTGGGGCTCCTGTGCCTGGTGCCACCTCAGCCTTGTCAAGCATTGCCAGAGTCCCATCCCACATGTGTGCTGGGTGGTGGGAGCTCTTCACTGTCCTCTCCTTCCACAGTGTCTCAGAGTGGTGAACAGCACTGCCCAAGTCTCGAATCCAGCTCTTCGGCCTCCATGGTCGGGGTTCTGTGGCAACTGTTTCTCGGGAACTGATAATCCTGCCCTCACTCCAAATCCTAGGAGAATCTTTCTTATGGCCCCACTTCACATCTGTATCCCTTCTCCAGAGACAGCCTCAGGCAGAAGATTCAGCCTTCAGAGTGGGGGTCTGCCTGCAAAGGGGAGGGTGGGGTGGCTGGGGGAGGGGCCCCTTTTCACAGTCTACGTGGGTATCATCTCATCCTGCCGCCTCCATGCTCTCACCACAGCCCGAGAAGCACTCTATAAATACGCTAACTCTAACGGGGGACCTGTCACCCTCCCTCCTTACACCTCCGTGTACCCCTGAAATCGCAGCCCAGAAGCCTCTAGCAGGTTCTTCTTGGAATTCTGCAATACAAGCGTTTCCTCCCCACTAGGACTGGGCAAGTCGTCCCATCCTGACAGACCAGACCCCAAGCCCCCTACTCTTAGTA